TTGTTCTAAGTGCTTCAGATGGTGAGCCTTTGACGTTTGTTTTCAAGTTGCATTCAATAGTTTTGGAATAATCAAAATTGCTTCCTTCACAAAGGAAGCTGAAACGATTACATACAATCTTGGGGCTAGGTGTAAGAAGATGAAAGTGGTGTCAATTAATAGCTTATATATTATAAACCTTTCACTGAAAACTATGCGGATTTAGTCAATCTGAGAACAGAGATATAAGAGACTAGCAAACGCGGCGAACTCCGTTTCGCCACCAGATGGCTTCGTTTTATGTAACATTTCGTTTGGTGATTAAAAGAAGATTTTTTTTTTAATTTTTCCTGAATTTTCTTTGCTATAAACCTCACTGAGCCCGAGACCTTTCCAACGAATGCAAAACCGTGGAAATCGGTTCGTGCGTTCTGGAGTTATAGCGTCAGGAAGGAAAACCCGACTTATTTTTATATAGTAGACTAGCAAACCCAGCGAACTCCGTTTCGCCACCAGATAGCTTCGTTTTATGTAACATTTCGTTTTGTGATTAAAAGAAAACGATTTTTTTTTTTATTTTTCCTGAATTTTCTTTGCTATAAACCTCACGGAGCCCGAGACCTTTCCAACGAATGCAAAACCGTGGAAATCGGTTCGTGCGTTCTGGAGTTATAGCGTCAGGAAGGAAAACCCGACTTATTTTTATATAGTAGATTAAGTAAAAGTGAGGTTATGTTACAATCTTTAACTGACAGCTGATTCCTGAAGTGCAAAATGCGTTCTTTTGCACTAATAGCTATTATATTTACTAGAAAATGTTTGAAAAATCATATGAATGCACGTCAACGACTTCAAGCGATTGAGGGATCTGAGGTAGGTAACAGGTTAGGAGATAGGGAAAGGATGTCTAAAATAAAATAAAAAATCATTTAATAAAGTTTTTTATTCGTCTTCTATTATAATTAAAATCCCATCTAGAAATTGTGCAGGTGGTACTATATGATCTTTGTACCTAGCCCAGCTAAGGGATGGTAGCTGGTTAGATGAGGTTATATTTACTAACAGACTGAGGTGCAAGCTATTGCCGAATCACTGACAGAACTGTTTCACTGTGGAAGGGTCGTCGGCCCAGTATATTGCTGTGACCAGTGGATATCACACAATTCACACAGCGATCCATAGTTTGAATAATATCCAATCCACAAGCCGGAGGTAAAATCCAAAATAACAATTTCAAGTCAAACGTGTGAGCATGTGTCCAAGGTGAAAGCAAGGGTCGTACAAGGTAGGCAGGGTCAGAATCCGTAAAATACAAAACAGTGGTCGTGAAAAATGACGAATAATCGGGAAAGCACTCAAAACGCATCGGGAAATACGAAACGAGTGAGCAAACAAGAGCAGTCTGTTGGAAGGCCAAAGGGGAAGACCTTCCTCCGAGCTGGGTGGTGGTAGCTCGGGGGCCGCGGCCCGACTAATATTGGTCGGGCTTCGTATATATGAAGAGTTAGCCGCCGAATTTCATTTGCGCGATGTAGGCTTCCATACTAATATTGATCGCAGTGCAGGTAACGCCATCTCTTGAGGATGGTGAGTAATCAGTGATTTGTTATATCCGTTGTAGATCTGTGGGGCATATAGATGTCGCCGCCACATCACTCACCTCCGAGACCGGAGGTCGATAGTCAGTGTTTTTCAGCAGTCAGTGCGTCAGTCGAGCTTGCAAGTGCCAGTGTGCTGCAGGATGCCCCAGTCTGCGGTGAGTCGAGACGGGTGGGGTGACGGCGCGTCGCCAGTGCTGCAGGGTTGCTCCAGTCTACGGTGAGTCGAGACAGGTGGAGTGTGACGGTGGGTCCGAGCTGCTGGTGTGCAGGGCTGCCACGCCGGTGTGCTTGCGGCCGACAAGTGAGGTACCGGTCGTAGGCTGCGGAGACCAGGTCGGGATGATGCCGTCGAGTGCTGCCGAAGGTCCAGGAAGCGTCGTTGAGAGCTGCGATGGAACCTTGAGGCTGATGCTGGCTTGCTGTGTGGCTACTGATGTTGCTTGACCTGATGAGGAAGGGATATGAGGTTTGATGGCTGCGCTGCGATGGTTGAAGGTTGCTTCTTGCTGCTGCTGTACTCAGTCGAGGGTCACCAGTGTTGGAAGGCCAAAGGGGAAGATCTTCCTCCGAGCTGGGTGGTGGTAGCTCGGGGGCCGCGGCCCGACTGATATTGGTCGGGCTTCGTATATATGAAGAGTTAGCCGCCGAATTTCATTTGCGCGATGTAGGCTTCCATACTAATATTGATCGCAGTGCAGGTAACGCCATCTCTTGAGGATGGTGAGTAATCAGTGATTTGTTATATCCGTTGTATATCTGTGGGGCATATAGATGTCACCGCCACACAGTCGGCAACTGTCTAGTGTCAATGTCAGTCAGCTGTTATGTCAGTGACATATAAGAGAGATTAATACTAAACGAAGCAACTCGCTGGCCGATGACTGGTAAAAATATTTTATATTGTTTAAAACTTTATTGTGTATGAATTTATTAGCTAATTTAATAAATAAAGTACTTTATTTAAAATTCTTTTTTATAATTTTGAGTTTATTTATTTGACCCTAACTACCGTAAACTACCACCGGTTGCAAATTTGGGAGACCTTTCTGAGAAGAACCGGCGAAACAAACTCAGAGAGGCTTTCTATCTCCTTCTTTTGTTAAATCATGCAAATAAAAAGAACTAATTTTAAAAATTTTAAAGTTTTAAAAATCTTCCATTGAAATATCCGAACGCTCAATAAAAGTCTTTCGAAGGTAGCTCGCAAAAAATCATTATTCGGACGACGCAGGCCTGAAAAGCGAAGCGTCAATAAATAAATAAAATCAGTACATCTTACTCGTTGAAACTTGTTTTATTTGTTTTGTGAAGTTAATTACACCACCGTCTTTCCAGCTTCTTTGCTCTTAGCGATAAGACCATCCATTATAACACTGTATTTTGTCATTATGTACTTCATATTTTATGTTTTTTTCTCACTCACTCGCAATGAGAGCAAGATCTTTTGTCTATATTTTTTTTCATCAGTAATATCACAGAAAAAGCAAAATACTTGCATAATAATTGAAGCTTGCTGATGAAATATCTGCGATAATGAACTTCAACCAGTGATCTATAAATAAGGCTGGGTACAAGCTTCATATTTTTGATCTCCTTTTTTGACCGAAATGCGACCTTCTTATTTCTTCTGTATTAGCTTTACTTGTAAGGTCGAATTTCGGTCACCACTATTTATAATAAACAAATTCATTTATTTCTCATCACAAACCAAACAGATTTTTTTGTAAATGGTATAGAGAGGTAAAAATGGTAAGTAAAAAACCTATATTAAAATATTGACCTGGTCACTTTAGCTGTTCTAAGATTGAATACAATATAAGATCAAATTTATATATATAAAACTCAAAGGTGACTGACATAGTGATCTATCAACGCACAGCCCAAACCACTAACACGGATCGGGCGGAAATTTGGTATGCAGGTAGATGTTCTGACGTAGAAATCCTCTAAGAAAGGGTTTTGGTCAATTCTACCCCGAAAAGAAGCGAGGGCGGGCCACTAGTACTAATATAAATGAATATAACAACAAAACTTGGGAAGATATAAATGGGGGGTGGAAGTTTGTACAGAAAATCTATGATTCCACGCATAGAAAATTGAGAGCATCAACAAGTTCTTTTTATTTATAAAAGTTTTAATTGGAATTTCTCCACAAAAAAAGATAATTAATTTAGCAAGAACGTATAAAACAAAATCTTAAAGGTAGGAGGCGCCAATCAAAGAAAAAAGTGCTTCAATTGAAACAGGCACTTTGATTGCTATTTCATGCGAGCAGCAGTGCTATTCTGTAAAATTTTCACAGATCGCGATTCGCGTGAAAATATTACAGAATAGCACTGCTGAATATTTTTAACTACTGTGTTTGCGAGTAACTTTTGTGAGGTATCTCATTATTTTACAAGATTCGCATCTTGTTAAAAGTTCTCATATTACAAGTGGACAGTAATTAAAAACGAATTCTGAATTTAAATACAGAATTACTGGAAATTTGTAGAAAAAGTAACTTTCTAAATAAAAACAAATTGAAGTATTTCTGTATTGTATTCGACTGAATTACTAATAAAGTGGTTTTAAATATTAATATAATCTTTGTTCAATCACGCAAAAACGTCTGGATTAAATGAGCATCTTGCATAAAGATAAGTTTTTGAAAACAAAAATATATACAGAATGTTTCTTTTAAGGTGTCAAGCCCGTGTTAGGTGATAGCTGAGTATACCTTTCGATTTGACCCCATGATGTTCCGCGATTTTTTGTAGTTTTCGAGTTATATTTTTTTTTCATTATAGTTTATGATTTAACGACTGAACGGCTTTAAAAAATTATAACTTTTTTAACTTAATATTTTTTAGCTTTTTTTTCTAGTACAATGCCTATTGCTTGTAGTTTTATGAGTAAAATAATCTCATTCCTAACTTACAAAACAAAATACAAAAATTTCTATCATTAGTAAAAAGATTGGGATCAAGCTGAACAGAATAGAATCTTCAACATTAAAAAAAATTTAGAGATCTTCCTGATCTCCTAACTAATTTTAAAAACTGCGCTCTATCCTAGGCTTTCATAATAATATAAAAAAAATGTACTTTATACGGCATTATTTGCTGAAATCGATCTCTGAAAGTATTGAATCAAAAATATCAAAATTTTCATATTTTATATTTTTTATTATTTTGCATAATTTTACTCAGCTATTACCTAGCACCGGCTTGACACCTTAAAAGAAATACCCTGTATATATATGCTATTGAAGAAGAGGACACAGGTACGTCATTTTTCGTGTACTGAAACGCTGCCTTATCTCCACCAAAATTGGATATCAAAACAGTTTTTATAATTTAATGCATTACGTACCTAATTAGAATTTAAATCTATTTTAATAACTTTATTTTTTATTATTATTTTAATAATCACTGTTTTTTATGACTCAACCTCTGTTATTGGTTTTGAACCTTCAATCAGCCATGCTGTTCCACTGTTACCCTTTTCGAAAACTTCTGCTATCGCACTAGACACTGCTTCTACTTCTTGCCAGGATGTAGTTTTTTCCAGCATGTCCTCGAAATCCTTCTGGACGCTTGGGTCATCATTCATCTTCGTTTTCAACGTTAACATTGTGTGCGTATATCCTGGACATACTGCAACCACCCTCACGCCATATTTCTCGTAACGGTAAGGATGGCCATAACTCCTCGTGAACCCCATCACAGCAAACTTCGACCCTTGGTAGATAGGTATGAACGGATCCACCCGGAACCCGTAAATTGACGCTATGTTGATCACAGTTCCACCATTACCGCCCTTGTCCTTCCTCATCCGCTCGAAGAATTTCACCGACCATTCCATAACCGCTGTCACATTAATGGCTATAGTCTTCTGAATCATGTACTCGTTGGATGTACCCGCATTATTCACTAGAACGTCAATGTATTTGTGCTTGTCAAAGATTTTATTTGTAACAGGGTCAAGATCAGACGTTACGTCACATTTGTAGAATTCTACTTTGTCTTCTCCATATTTCGATTTCAATGTTTCTGCTGAAGCTTGGCCTTGTTTCTCGTTAATGTCAAGTATAATGACAAGACGAGCTCCCTTTTCTAGAAATGTATCAGCAGTAGAATATCCGATTCCTCGAGCCCCTCCGGTTATGACTACTTTTTTATTTTTCAGATTCCTCTCCATGATGAGTTCTTCACCACCTATGTTTTACTGAAAAAAATATCTTAGTAGTAACATTTATATGTACCGAAAAGACTAGATAATGAGATCAACTAAGTCAAACTTAAATATATCTTATCAACATAGAGTTATGTTACATAAACATAGAAAAGATAAAGTTAGCAATCTGTCAGTTTCCATTAAAGCATTTTTTTTTAAGATAAAATCCTCCTAATCGGGAATAAAAACTTAATCATTTAGAACAGGATGGTTTTGAATTTTGTCTCTCCTCTACTATTTAACACGAGTAGAATAGAAAATTTTTAACTAGAAAAAAATCCACGCGGACCAGGCAGCAGACGGGACTCGAACCCACACCCTTAGCTATCCGGGCGAATGCACTGACCAATTATGCTACCGCGGCCCTGACGGCCGCGTCGAATTTCTTCCTGAACGAACCTTTTGGAGTATGAATGGTGGCAATTTGAGTTTATCTTTATTTCTGGTATTGAAATTATGTACATCATCGCGCCTCGTATATAAATTTATGTTCTGACGCACAAACAATATACGATTGTAAATGTATTGAGAGGCAACAGTCATTATACCTATTTCTTTAAATTTATCCCTAAGAGAAGTTCGAGATCCCAAGCGATAAATAGCTTCCTAGATATCTCTATTTCAAAAGATTCGCATTTTGGTTCTCATGATTCAAGTTAACCTATTTTTTTCTTTTTATTATGGAAACTGACAGATTGCCTAGAGAGCTGCGTAGACGTGGACAATTATAATGACAGGTTTGTTGAAGCTGTCCTTACGGTGGGCTCGAAGTTCTGCAAGCCCATCCGTACCAAAAAACGCAGCAAGATCTCGGAGTCGACTCTCAAGCTCATGGAGAAAAGGCGTGAGATGGGTCTGCAGTCCTCTGAAGATGCACGTCGGCAGCTCAATAGGCAGATTTCGAAGTCTCTGACTCGCGACATACGCCGCTTTAATACTGATCGTATTAAAGAGGCCATCGAGCGGAACAAAGGCTCGAAAGTGTTCGCAAGAAATCTGTCTCTTGGACAGAGTTTGCTGACGAAGCTGAAGACAGAGGACGGCAGAATCATTTCGTCGCAACCTGAGCTTATGGCTGAGATCGAAAACTTCTACGGACAGCTATACGCGACATCACGAGTACCTGTCACAAAGGCGACCGACCCAAGAGCCAAATTAACCCGACACTACACCGAAGATATCCCGGACGTCAGCCTGTACGAGATTAGTGTAGCTCTGAAACAGCTCAAAAACAATAAGGCGCCGGGTGATGACGGAGTTACAGCCGAGCTTCTGAAAGCAGGTGGACGACCAGTCTTGAAATCTCTTCAGAAGCTATTTAACTCTGTCATACTCGAGGGCAGAACGCCTAGCGCATGGCATAGGGGCATAGGGGAGTGGTGGCGCTTTTCTTCAAGAAGGGAGACAGGGCCCAATTGAAGAATTACAGACCCATCACGCTCCTGAGTCATGTATACAAGCTGTTTTCGAGAGTCCTCACGAATCGTCTCGCGCGCAGGTTTGACGACTTCCAGCCTCCCGAACAAGCCGGATTCCGAAAAGGGTTTAGTACCGTAGACCACATCCATACGCTGCGGCAGGTTATACAGAAGACCGAAGAGTATAACCTGCCATTATGCTTGGCGTTTGTGGACTACGAGAAAGCCTTCGATTCGATCGAGACATGGGCCGTGCTTCGGTCACTCCAAAGGTGCCAAATAGACTATCGATACATCGAAGTGTTGCAGTCGTTGTATGAAAACGCCACTATGTCAGTTCGACTCCAGGACCAAAACACGAAGCCAATCCAGCTGCAGCGTGGTGTAAGACAGGGTGACGTTATATCACCGAAACTGTTTACAGCTGCGCTGGAAGACGTTTTCAAACTTTTGGACTGGAGCGGACTTGGCATCAACATAAACGGCGAGTACATGACGCACCTTCGATTTGCAGATGATATCGTAGTCATGGCTGAGACCATGGATGACCTTGGCACAATGCTCGGCGACCTCAGTAGGGTGTCCCAACAAGTGGGTCTCAAAATGAACATGGACAAGACGAAAATCATGTCGAATTCCAATGTCGTACCCACTCCAGTGACTGTTGGGAGCTCTACACTGGAAGCTGTTGACCAGTACGTATACCTGGGACAAATAGTCCAACTGGGTAAGTCCAACTTCCAGAAAGAGGTTAATCGACGAATCCAACTCGGCTGGGCAGCGTTCGGGAAGCTACGTAGCATCTTCTCGGAACATCTACCGCAGTGCCTCAAGACGAAAGTCTTCAATTCGTGCGTGTTGCCAGTGATGACATACGGAACCGAGACGTGGCCGCTTACAATGGGTCTTGTAAGAAGGCTCAAAGTCACCCAAAGGGCAATGGAGAGGGCTATGCTCGGAGTTTCTCTGTGTGATCGAATCAGAAATGAGGAGATACGCAAGAGAAATAAAGTCACCGACATAGCCCACAGAATTGCAAACCTTAAGTGGCAATGGGCAGGGCACATTGCTCGCAGGACCGATGGCCGCTGGGGCGGAAAGGTCCTCGAGTGGCGACCGCATACCGGGAAACGCAGTGTTGGCAGGCCCCCCACAAGGTGGACCGACGATCTGGTAAAGGTCGCGGGAAGCCGCTGGATGCGGGCAGCATGGGACCGATCGTTGTGGAAATCCATGGGGGAGGCCTATGTCCAACAGTGGACGTCTTTCGGCTGATGATGATGATGATGATGATTATAAGGTTGTTAAAGCGTAACGAATTGCTTTTGGGCGATTATAAAATAAGTAGGTTGAAAAATATATAATTTTTTCATGCAATTTTATGCTTTATACCTACTTAAATGGTTTTTACTTATTCAACAATTCATTACTTTTGATAAAAGAAATATTTTACTGGTTATTTACATTATGCATTATATAATTATGCATGATATTCGTAAACTGTGTGCAATGAGTAGTTTAGTGTGTCTACAGGAGACGTGGCTTCTCAGTCATGATATTCCGCTGTTGGGAACTGTATCCAGTGATTTCGAGTATACTGGTAAGTCTGCTGTGGACACTTCTGTAGGGATTTTGAGAGGTAGACCATACGGTGGAGTAGCCATTCTTTGGAGAAAGGGCCTATTCGAATATATATCGATTATAGAATGTAGTAGTAAACGTCTGGCTGCTATTAAGTGTACTGTGGGTGGCCGTACTTTATTAGTATTTTCTGTGTACATGCCAACTAAATCAAATGATAACCTACCCATTTTCACTGAAGTCCTAAGTGAAATAAGTGCAATTGTATCAGACTGTGGCGTTGAAACTGTATTTTTATTAGGTGATTTTAATGCTCATCCTAATGGACTTTTCTACAATGAATTAAATAACTACTGTAGAGACCAATCTTGGGTCTGTGCAGACGAAAATCTGCCGCCTAACTCTTATACATTTGTAGATCAGTTCTACGGGACAAGGAGTTGGCTGGACCATAGTGTGGTCTCCCTTTCAGCTATGCAAACTGTCTTGAATGTAAGTATACTGGAAAATTTGTATATTTCGGATCACCTGCCTATTTTTCTTGAATGTAATATAAATACAATAAGACCTTAGCTAATAACATGTGAAATACCGCGCAGTGGTGTAATTTGGGGTGATAGGGATGAAAATCAGATAAGTAGTTGTTCAAGCCAAAATGACTCTTAAATCCGAGAGCTTAGGTGCAAAAGAATTAAATGAAACTAAGGTGGATTTTGTTTGACCATAGATTCCTTTAATAGTTTGGTGACGTTTTGCCTATATGTAGCTCCAAACAAATTTGCAAGCGTGATGCAAAGAACTACAGCGCCATCTATTTTGACACATATGAACTACATTTTTTACATGCACAAATGGCGTATACATAATCGCCCACCAAGGACAAACTGAGATTTGTCCTTACAAATATTTAACTTAACATAACGACTGTTATCGCCCACCATGACTTAAGGTAACAAAACACTTAAAATTACAATAACTTAAAATAACAAATTTTAAATTTTAACAGAACATATTTTTTTTATAAATCAGTATTGTACTTTTGTATAAAGCAACAAATATCTATATAAATTAACTAGTTATGGGAAGAAGACAAATTTTAGATACAGGACGTTTTAGAGTGCCACCTTTTACCTTTAATGTGACAACCCTAACTATATCATCATTTCCGGGATGAGTTGCAATCACTCTACCATAAAGCCAACGCCCAGCAGGTAAGTTATCTTCCTTTACTACAACTACATCGTCAATCTTTAGTTGAGGATTCTGAAACGACCATCTGTGTCTTTGGTAAAACCTTGTCAAATATTGACGTGACCATTGATGCCAAAAATCCTGCAGCATTTTCTGAGTATATTGCCATCTACGTAAAGAACTGATGTTGTCAGATTCGTAATTCCTGTCAGGTGGTGTGACCAGTGCTTCTCCAACAAGAAAATGTCCAGGTGTCAAAATTCTCACATCATCGCTTTCGTTACAGGAAAGTGTGGATAGAGGTCTAGAATTTAAGCAGGCCTCTATCTGTGCCAATACTGTCGTCATCTCCTCGAACGTCAACGTTGATTGGCCAATAACCCTTTTCAAGTGGAACTTGACGGACTTTACTCCCGCTTCCCATAGACCACCAAAGTTGGGAGAGCGTGAGGGTATGAAATGCCAGGTACAACCGTTAGTTGCCAAAGCCTCGGCTGCTTCACTTATCATGGAGTTCTTTTCCTCGGCGAATAACCTTTTTAATTCAGCAGCCGCGCCAACAAAATTCGTAGCATTATCACTCCAAACATCAGAGCAGTAACCTCTCCTTGCCACAAATCGTTTAAATGCCTGGAGGAAAGCCTCCGTGGTAAGGTCAGATACTACCTCTAAATGTATGGCGCGCGTTACCATGCATACAAATAGGCAAATATAGCCTTTGTATGACTTATAACCACGTCCCTTAGTCGTCCGCAATTGTATGGGACCTGCATA